TATTAGAAAGCTCTCATATACACTACTAGAAAGCTCTCATACACACTACTGAAAAGCTATTAGCGGATTTCAGTTGAAACGGAAGGTGTTTCAGTGAAACAGGAAGGACCGTCATTACACCGGAAGTTGTTTTAAACGGAGGTCATTCTGGCTAGCTCCGTACATTTTGTGCTATCTCCGGCCGAAATTGTATCAAATAAAATTATTGATTCATGCTCAGCTATCCGCTAAACAACTCACAGAAGCATGGGCATTACTCGACTGTATTTTTTATGTTTTTGCTTCAACAGAGATCCTTTTTCGGTGTTGTGCGAAATTCTGTTCCCATGTGAAAATCTGTTCCACCTGTGTCGGGAGCGCGCCGCGCATTGCAGCCACATAAGCGGATCTGATCATTTCCCAGGCCTTTCGGATCATTTCTTGGTTAAATAAAAAGTCGTAAAATTATACAAGGTTGAGACATTTAGTTTAATCAGCCGCTGTTGTTTACAAAATTGTAAAATAAAAAAAATAAATGCGGTTTTCTTATGCTGTTTTGTGTTGTTATTTTAAACGCCAAGAGAATCAGTCTCTTTCCAAGTTTTTTCACTTCAGCCTGACAGAAATAAAAGTCAAGTCACCAAATACCAAATTTGTATTTATAATTTTTTATTACTGATATAAGATGATGGGAAGTGCCTGATAGCAGTTCCATAATATGGAAACAAATTAATTTAGCTGCAAATCTTAAACTGTGTTTATTCCTCTCTTCATCAACAACAAACCATCTGGATTCGGTGATATTTGAGCAATGTTTGCCTAAATTAAAGGAGGGGGACCATATATTTTAGCTTTCTAATAGTGTGTATGAGAGCGTTCTAATAGTGTATATGAGAGCTTTCTAATAGTGTATATGAGAGCGTTCTAATAGTGTATATGAGAGCTTTCTAATAGTGTATATGAGAGCGTTCTAATAGTGTATATGAGAGCTTTCTAGTAGTGTATATGAGAGCTTTCTAATAGTGTATATGAGAGCTTTCTAATAGTGTATATGAGAGCTTTCTAATAGTGTATATGAGAGCTTTCTAATAGTGTATATGAGAGCTTTCTAACAGTGTATATGAGAGCGTTCTAATAGTGTATATGAGAGCTTTCTAATAGTGTATATGAGAGCGTTCTAATAGTGTATATGAGAGCTTTCTAATAGTGTATATGAGAGCTTTCTAATAGTGTATATGAGAGCGTTCTAATAGTGTATATGAGAGCTTTCTAATAGTGTATATGAGAGCGTTCTAATAGTGTATATGAGAGCTTTCTAATAGTGTATATGAGAGTGTTCTAGTAGTGTGTATGAAAGGTAAAGCTTTTCACCAGTTTATATGAACAGTTCTCACTACTTTGTATGAGAGCTTTTGAGTAGATTATATAAGAGGTAAATGTTTTCACTAGTTTATGTGAGAGCTTTTTACTAGTATTTGTGTGAGGTTTTCAGTATATTATATGGAAGAGTGTAATTTAATATGTGTATATGCAAGTTAATTCTGATTTATGTCCCTGGGGGCACCTCATATTTTTCTGCCAGCCCTGCTGACGAGCCAAACCAGGAAAAGGTGACAGAAACAGAAACTAAGGAAAAATAATTGACATTCATGTTTACACTTCTTTGCACAGGCAGGATAGACATTCTTTCTGCTTCACAGGAAAGCATGTAAAACTGTCCAAACAAAACTACAATATAGAACTCAAACTACCCAACTATTTGTTCAAACTTAATACTACATAACACAAAATCATTTATCATATTACATGGGGTAATGAGACTCCTTGTCCCCATTACAAAGGAGGAATCAGTGCTAAACTATTTATTTTTAAAAAATTAAAAACTTTTTATCAATTTCAATGGGGAGTTAATAAGAATAAATAAAAAATGCAGTTGTGACATTAGTTTGCTTGAATGAGCTGTAGGGCTCAGAATAGTTTTAAAATGTTCCTTAGATTAAACATAATTCAAATGTTAGAATGCATAAAACAAGATTAAATGTTTTCTTAATATCTGTAGGTTTCTTTACAGCTTCAGTGTAAATCATTGTACAAGATTATTGTGTATTAAATGTAATGGTTGGAGTTTATAATCAGAATAATGAGCTAAAACGACCACAGGATGACAGGAAGATTTCAGCTGCCAGGCATTCAAAGGTTAAACATAGTTGGTGTTCTGTGATTCAAACCTGAAGCATTCTGTATAATAATCACTCAGAAAACACATGATTTAAATGTTATACTTTTAATGGTGACTTTAAAGCTAAAATTAAAGTAATTGTGTATAAGAACGTCTGGTTGTGACTGCACATAAGTTTTGAGTAAATGATGAATTATTGAGTAAAAAGGCAGTGCTGATCTTGATAAGAACAGTAATTAAACTCTGTTTTGTGTCGCAGGATCCGGAAGGAACGGATTGCTGGCTGTGATGTGAACATGGCGGACCAGCGTGTGGATTCTGCATCTGCACGCCATCATGGAGACAACATGGAGACCAAAGGGGACTTGAGACCCTGATTGAATAATTAGATTGATAAGTGATGGAGACACTGAATGAATTTTAGGAACCGACAGCTTTATGCTCAGCTATGTTCGCCATTTGCCTTGAATGTTAACTCGTCGTGATTTATGGCTTTGATTCATTTTGATTTATCGTTATGAAGAAAATGGAAACATTTTACTCCAGACCCACATCAAAATCAGGTTTTATGCAACTTTTGATTTGCTGTAGAAAGACTCATGAGTGGATTGGCGTCAAAGGTCCTTAAATTAAAAGGTAACGGTACTTCCTTTTTTTTTTTTTTTCCACCTTGCTCAGATTGCCTGAGAGTGGGATTTTAGGAAGTCATCTTCATTATGTGCGTGGCAAAGATTTGGGAATGGAATAAGGTGTCTTTGATCTGAGAACATAGTGCATGTTCAATTCAATTCAGTTGATTTATAAAGCACCAATTCACAACACATGTCATCACAACGCACTTAAAGTTCAACCAGATCATACAGTGTAGTGAGGAGAAAGTATTCAACTATTCACCCTAGCTAAATAAACAGAGATTGATGGATTTCACTTAGTAGGTGCATTTATTCATATATTTGCAAAGAGAGAACAGTTCATCATACAGCCCTTATGGCACAGCAATCTGCCCTGTTCTGCATGAGAAGCATTCGTTCCCCGTTACTTACAACAGTGGAAAAGTAGTCAGAGTCAAATTTATTATAGGAAGAAGCTATATCTGGCCTACAAACAACATCCTGCAGAGAATTGTGTGGCGTTAAAAGTGAAACAGATTGAGCAAAAAATGAGAAAGTTTAGAGTGGGTAAATAGGATAAATTAATATATAATGGAGGACAAATCTATATTTTTTGACAATAGTCACATTGATTCAAAGTTTTCTATCATAGAAAAAAAAACAGTTGATTGCATCGATTCATTGACTAGAAGGCAATCCCTCACACTGCATGTGAGACGCACCAAAAATAGGTGACCACACTGGTTATAAGTTTCTTCATTTGTACAGGGAGAGCAGTGGGCAATTTACCATTATGCAATACTAGACAGTTGCTTAGGGCCCAAAGTTCCTGGGAGCCCCATAAAACTGTGTTTATGTATGGTTAATACAACTATTCCTTATCTGTGCACATTAATTATGTTTGTGATAAAAATCCTTTCGCTAAAATGCCATCAGAATGCTTATAATATTAAGTGTGTCTCAGCCAAATAAAAAGGGTTGGGGTGAGGTATGCATACAAATGAAAAATAGAGAACAGATAAGCAGATCATGGCTTGTCTGCAGTGAAAAGAAGGATTGGGTTATTTACTTTTGCCGTCGCCTTTTTGGAATCACAAGAAGGAGCAATCACCTAAGTGAGCTTAGTGGTTGGAAAATTGTTTCATTCCTTTTGAGACGGCATGAAAAGTCACAGTGTATTCCCATTATGAGTTCGTATGAAATCTTACGATAAGTTATGCACTGTAATTTCGTACGTTTTAGACGTTTTTTTCATCTTATTTCGTCGTATTTTTACGTCTTGCCTCGAGACAAGATATCCTTGTGCATGCACATCTTACGCACCATTCAATAACATAGAATTTAACATACAATTAACCCTAACTGCTTTTTTCGTCTGTCTGCCTGCGCATGCGCACTGATCTGTTTTTTCGAGGAAAAACGTCCAAAACGTACGAAATACTGTGCATAACTTTTCGTACGATTTCATACAAACTGATAATGAGAATATGTTGAAAGTCAGTAGAGTACAAAACATAGAGAGGAAAACAAAAAGAAAAGTGACAAGCAGAGAGGGATAAAATGTAGAATAATGAATGTCTATTGTATTAAAAAAGTTTCTATCTGTATAATGGGTCTGTTTTATGTGTTGTCTTCTCAATTCAGAGGGGCCCCTGCCGGTTTTTGCCTAGGGCCCCAAATATTCTAAATCCGCCTCTGGATGTGGGTCACAGCAGAACATGAAATCAAAGCTTAATTTTTAATTGATAAAAGCTTATTTAATTTTTCTGTTGGGTCCTCAGAAAGCAAAACAGATCCCAGACTTATTTTATTTCACTACCTAAGAAATCAGTGATGTCAGTCAGAGTCCTGGCCTGAAGCAATCTCCCAGTCCGGCCCTGACACCTTTAAGTTCACAGAAAACTGATTTTTCAGGCAAGGAGATTGCCTTTTTTCTATTATTATTAAAATTAAATTCATTTTACGATTTTTTTTATTCCTGCTTGCTTGCTCTGTTATTACATTAAAACAAGTCATTATATAAAACAATCTAATCAAACTGGCTCAGATTAAGTTTGCAGGGATTAGACCGCATTTCCATATAAATCAGGTTTGCTTACTTTGCTCTGGCAGCAATAATAACCTGGAGGAGCTTCTACAGAGTCTACATGAATCATGGTTGTTGATTGAGGAGAGGAGGTGACTATAAGTGCGTGATTAGATGGTGTCCTGCTGCGTTAAGCCCTTTGGTGCCACTGGTAACAGCGGAGCGCTGCACGCGCGCTGCGTAAAACCAGCAGAGACGCGCGGAGCCACGTCCCAGGTTTCAAGCATGAACATCTGAGTTTATATTTACACTGGAAGCTCTGATAATGCGGTAATGCCATGAAGATGGAGGAAGTCTTTAACGCCTCAGACTGTAGCGGCGCGAACGTCTCCGCAAACTGCAGCGACGGCTTCAACAAGTTCGTCCAGCCGCTTTGGCAGATCGCGCTGTGGGCCGTGGCTTATTTGGGCATCGTGCTGGTGTCTGTGGTCGGAAACGTGGTGGTCATTTGGATTATTCTGGCGCATAAACGCATGAGGACTGTCACCAATTACTTTCTGGTGAGTTCTGACTGAAATGAGAGTGAAGAAATTTCACTTATTGGTACAACGTCTCAAAAATAAGTGCTTCCTACGGTGGCTGAAATAATGAAAAACGTTCAGGAGGTGCAGTGATTTAACAAAATCAGCGGATTTCCGTGTAAAATCTGATTGGTTGTAGTGAAATAATAAAAAATAAAGTGTTTTCTCAAAAAAAATACACAAGTGATCATTTGATGGGTATATTTACACTGAGAAATATAACAAAATGTAGTCTGCTTTTTCATTTTAAGTTCATAAAAAATATTTGAAAACAGCAGCACCAAAGAAGTCACACTAAAATACTCCCATCAATGCGAATCATCATAATTCACATTTGGCTACAACAATCTCTTCTGAAATGTTCATCATTCATTACCTAAATGATAGGAGAAGGAGAAATCTTCTGAACTTCTGAAAGTACTTAAAATACGATTTTATTATATACTTTCCAATAAATGATAAGTGTTTTTAATTAAGAATAATTTTGATCTAAATGTGCTTTACTGGAGGCATCCATGTTTGTCAAAGAACACTACTGCCATCTACTGGTTTGTGACGTCATGGTGCGGTATCGGCTGTTGATCAAGTCCCAGTGCTGTATCTGGTGTTTGTCACAACGCGCTATTATCCAAGTCATCTTGAAAACATTCTTCTTCCAAATGTTGGCTACATATTACGTGTTTTTTCTCTGGCCAGAAGTTTGATGGCAAATCCTCCCTCTTCAAGTTGGCAATTCAATGACAAACCCGTCCGTGGAGGATGAGGATTTAGAAAGGTGAAATAACTGTTTTATTTCACTTTTACCCGATGTATTCCAACATCCAGTTGCCATGCACGTGGGCATTGTCAGTTTCACTATAGCTCTGGTGAATTTCAATGGTGAAGTCCTCTGGAAATCTTCAATAATTGTTGTTGATTGCAGATGTGTCTAGTAGTTCCCATTGATTTTGCTTGTAAAGCGGGGAGAATGGCGCTAGGCTTACCGCAGCATGACGTCACTGCTGGAAGATGGCAGGAGGGAGGGGTTACTATATTTGGGTAAAAATGGCCGCTCCCAGACTCAGTGATCGCAACGAAAATGATCATTTTCATTGTTTTACTTATTAACGCTAAATTCATTAAATCACTGTGAATTTATTAGTTTTAGGTTAATATGCATTTATTATTCTTCGCTGACCAGACTTCTTTAAGAAGAACCCCAAAGGTAAAGGAATCCTACCATAGCCTTGAACCTAACCATTAGCAAAATAGCACATGAGGCCCAGCAAAATGTCCTCCCTTTGCAACAACTGGTCCACAGTTTTGATGGGGAAATTGTAAAAATGGTCCTCACTCTGAGGGCTAGACAGGTACACACACACGTTTCAGTTTTAGACAAGAGGTTTTCTCTACATTTGCAAAAAAAAAAAAAAAAACTGTAGCAGTTTAACACTTGCTAATGCAAAGAATTGGACCAGCGATTATGGATGAGTTGTAGCTGCTCATCTAAGAAAGAATGAGCAGCTGATACAGGTGGAACACAGTGGAGGACATTTAGAAATTTATTTAAAAATCAATAAATGCTTTTTCCCCTGGCTTTTATTCTCTTTACACTGTCACAGAACAATAAAATTAACTCTCTGCATTTAACCCATCCCCTTGGGGAGCAGTGGGCTGCCATTGTGCGGCACCCAGGGAGCAGTGTGAGGCTAAAGGTCTTGCTCAGCGACACAGAGTGGCAGTCTGTGGGAGTGGGGCTTGAATTCAGAATCTCTGGAACCCAAGCCCTAAACCACTAGGCTGCCACTCCCCTTAATAAATACATAGACTTGCTATAAAATAAAGCTAATAAATAAATTAAACCATTGATATGATATATTATATTATGATATAACCAACGATATGGTGAGGCATAAATGTATATCTCTCCTATTTATTACGCTTTTGTAATATTTATTTTATTTATTCAAACATGTATTCATTTCTATTGGTACTTTAACATTTGCGTGTGTTTTTAATAAATGCTCAACTTAATCGAAGGAGGGGAGCCTATAAATCAGCTTAAAGGAAATGAGGAAAAACTGATGGGAAGCGCAACTACAGAGAGATGATGAAGCACCAGCTTCAACGTCAGCGCTGTTTGGAAATTTCTTGGAAATTTCTTATAACAATCTCAGGTCACATTCAGAACTGCCAGACTGTAGATAACTTAGGTCAACAAGCTGAACCAGTACCAGTGCGTTCTTGGGTTTGACCAGACACTCAGTCTCTCCCCACCCCAGCCTCCTGTGCTGCATCCTCCTTCATCGTTAATGGTTCCCTGCTTTGCTTCCCTGAACTGGACAGCTCCTGACTGCTGGCAACCAACCGCCTTCTGAATTCAAAGGACTTTACAATTGACAATACATCTTCTCTCCCCAGCCTGTCTCTCTCAACACTTCTTACTGACTAATTAGTTGGAAAAGGGGGATAAGTATTTGGCATCATCTCAAGATGTGGTGTAGATTAGCTGTGCAGCAACTTGGGATAAATTCAATTAAAAGCCAGAACAAATACTACTGCTGTGAAAGAGCTGCTGTTTGGTTTCAGCATCTAAGACAGCAGCTGACATGGAGCGCCGTCAACAAAAAGACACTTGAGGGAATGATCCATGTCTGCTATCTCTATCTATCTATCTATCTATCTATCTATCTATCTATCTATCTATCTATCTATCTATCTATCTATCTATCTATCTATCTATCTATCTATCTATCTATCTATCTATCTATCTATCTATCTATCTATCTATCTCTATATATATATATATATATGTATGTATATATATATATATATATATATATATATATATATATATATATATATATATATATATATATATATATATATATATATATATATATATATATATATATATATATATATATATATATATATAGATTTATAGGGGGAGAGAGAGAGAGAAGGACCGTAATACAAAATGAGTGGGATTAGTATTGAAGCTGTTTGTTGCAATGTTAAAGAGAAATTTAAACCTTTAAATTCACAAAGTGTTTTAATTTTGTCTGCTTCATTATACTATTTTACCTTAGAATCAACCTTTTTTCCAGTATTTAACCAAATGTCAAAAAAGGACAGTTATCAGGACTAACATGTAGTGACAGAGAAATCTACTCTGAATTCCCCTTTATAAATCTTTGTGGATCCTTACCATGGTCACAACTGGTTTATTTTTTTATATGGATATTATAAACTATTTTAGGTGTATGAATCATAATAATGTATTTCTTTCCTCTGCAGGTGAACCTTGCCTTTGCTGAAGCTGCCATGTCAGCATTCAACACAGTGATCAACTTTGCCTATGCCGTTCACAATGAGTGGTACTTTGGATTGATTTACTGCCATTTCCACAACTTCTTCCCCATTGCCGCCATATTTGCAAGCATTTACTCCATGACGGCCATAGCTCTGGACAGGTGTGTTCTCTTTAAAGCATGTGTGAGTGAATCACAATCTGTCATTAAACAATATGCCTCTAAATACACTGTGTGGCAACATCCAATGAAAGATTGAGCTGTAATATCATCATATCAATCATAGCAGTATAAGGGAAAATATCTGGAGATGATGGCAAGGGAGAAAGCTGATATGAAGAAGTGATCGTCATCATTAAATTTAGTCTAACTTTGCTGATTTTATCATTCACACCTTCTATTTTGGTTTTAAATGTTTGATTATGACTAAAAGGTGTAGCTACTCTTTTATTCTTCTCAAGCCCGTGATAAAAATCTTGCAAAACGCTGGCATACGTTGGATACGTTATGGGCACGTTTTGTATTAATTATGAGCACTCTGAAGTACGCTGGCACACATCGACATACGTATGTCTGCCGACATATGCCATACGTGGGCCATAGGTTACAGGTAAGTGTGAGTTACTCATAAGTCGTGGCGTCTAGCTTATCTAAAACCTATGAGTAACTTTTGCATAACTTCTGCATAACTTACTAAGAACTTCTCTCCAATGCATATTAAGGTATGTGACGTGTTCCAGACGGCTGCTGAATGTGTTTCTAACTTCTAGCTACTGTATAATGGCGTATGGGAGGTATTTTTTTTGGTATAAAGGGGGTTCACAGGAGGAAACCATCAGTTCTCCTCCAGACTTCATCCCCCATGATACAGTAGGGTGAGGGAGAATGTGAGTGTGATGGCTCCTCCCTGCGTTCACGCCCACCACCAATAAACTTCCTAGCAGACATGACGCTGAATCTGCTGCTACAGCAAACCTGCTGTCTTTTTCTTTTTTCTTTTTATTTATTCTTTTTTTTTTGGCAGGCGGTAAACAGCAGGTAATTTAATACCGCGATCAAAGACATCTTTATATGCAGGCCGGGTGCTTCCCAGCAGATCGCTGCCCCCCTCAGGAAACTGGCTTATGAAATTTCATGAGCATTATGATGCCGTGCATTATGCATAAGTTAGGCTGTCATTGGACATAAGTTCAGGACTCATTATGAATACTTTATATTGTTATATTTATATTGTATACTGCTTGTTTATTCTTTATGCACCTTTTCCTACTTGTTTGCACCTTCTTTAATTACTAGGCCAATATGTGACCAGTGAATTTTTCCGCTTTGAGATCAATAAAGCTCATCTAATCTAATCTTATATATATATATATATATATATATATATATATATATATATATATATGTGTGTGTGTGTGTGTGTGTGCCCAAAATTAAAAAAACTACATACAAAGTTCAGTGTATGCCAGTGTTTTAGGAGATTCTGGGATGTCCGGCATATGCTGGCTACATCAGCAAGGTTTCACTCGGGCTTCAGTCCTTTTCAGCAAACTCTTTTCCCTTCACCTTTGGTTAATTACTTTTAGCTGTTTTCGCTTCTTCTGATTGCCTCCCCTAATTCCTTTATTCTCACCATCTCCTCTCCCTGTATACCCGTCATTTGTATAAATATCATGGTCAAATCTTTCCATTGTGCTCCATGTTCCAGTCCTGTTTTCCTTTTCCTAAATTTGGTTATTTGGTTTATACAGATGCAATTAACCAGATCATACAGTCAGATCGATTTATGGTTTTCTATCTAAGGAAAACCAGTTGATTGCATCGACTCATTGACTCAAATACAATCCCTCACACTAAGCATGCTTGTAGCGACAGTGGAGAGGAAAAACTCCCTTTTAAAAGGAAGAAACCTCCAGCAGAACCAGGCTCAGTGTGAGCGGCCATCTGCTGAGGCCGACTGGGGTTCAAGGAGACAGAAGCAATCATAGATAAGAAGCTGAGATAAAAAAAAGGCAATTGTAAAAGGCGGCCCCCAGCAGGAAACGCACAGCCAGGCAGACGAGCCCCAAGCCAGCTCCCATGTTTTGATGGTAGCAGCACAGTGTCCTGCTGGGAGGAAAACTTGTTACTAACAATATTAAGCATTTTAAAGTAGGTCATCATGGAATTGCTTTTAGTGAGGCTACTCAGAGAATCTCCATAATGTTTTGTGTGTGTCTCTCTATTTGGTAGATACATGGCTATAATCCACCCTCTGAAGCAGAGGCTGTCTTCCACTCAGACTCGGATGGTGATTGGTGTGATTTGGGTGCTGGCTCTGCTCCTAGCCTTTCCTCAGTATCTCTACTCTTCGACAGCAGTGCTGCCCGGACGCACGGTCTGCTTCATAGACTGGCCAGAATACAACTCTGTTGACTTCAGAAAGATGTGAGTGTATGAGCTGGCATTGCCTTTTTTCTACAGTATTATCTTTTTGTCGCTTCCATATTTAACTTTTTTTAATTAGATACTTTTTTATTTCATATTAAAGAAAACTGGTTCCTAAAGTATTTGTGGAAATAATACAATTTTAATATCAAGAAAATAAATATTTGTCTTATGTGAAAACTATTAAAATCATTAGCCTTTCTAATTTCACAAACATCAGGGCTTGTTTGGTTTTTAAATTAGAGTTTAGGTAACTTTTAATGTAGTTTAAAATCAACAACTGGCATCCAATTATTGTTTTAAGGCCAATATTGGCAAAAGTAAGATTTTGCCAATAGGACTGAAAACAGTCCTCTACAGGTTTACCAGCTACTGAATGGTTAACTGCCCCGTTTCACAGAGTAAGGGTAGTGCTAACCTATGGAGTGAATTTTGTTCCATTATTGATGCAAGAAAAAAACATATCAATAGAACTGAAAAAATGCAACCCAGACATAACATTTTGAAAAACTTCCTTATTTAAAACTTTGCTGTTTTATTCTTTTGAAACTTCATTTTTTACATTTTGAATTTTTTTTTTTTTTTCAGATTAACCTATAAAAATTACATTCAAAATTTATTCCATACATTTTCTAGATTAACTTCTGGGGTAGATTCCTGCATACCCTGCTGGATTTTCCATTTCAGAAAGCAGTAAAGTTATGACAAATAACTTTTTGAAACATTACTTTTTAGTAGGCAGGTTCTAACCGTTGTTATTTCCCACTTTCTATCTGAGACCTGAACAAAAAAATTGTTAAAAAACTGTGTCTCGTTCTCAATTTCAATCAATTCAATTTAGTTTATTTCTATAGCACCAATTCACAACACGTGTCATCTTATGACACTTTACAGAAACAATTCAACCAGATCATAAAGTCAGATTGATTCAAAGTTTTCTATCTAAGGAAAACCAGTTGATTGCATTGACTCGTAGACTCTTCAGAAATTCCTTACACTAAGCATGCTTGTTGTGACAGTGGAGAGCAAAAACTACCTTTTAACAGCAAGAAACCTCCTGAACTGGGGTTAAAGGAGACAGAAGCAGACATACAGAAAAAGGGAGAGATACAAAAGGAACTTGTCAACCAGCTCCACAGGCGGCCCCATCCAGGAAACACACAATCCTGGCTCTTCCAGGTTTTCTGGAAGAGCTTGTTAAGGTTGAAGCACAAACACTCTGAAAATATCTCTGTCGGGAAAAGGTGATTAGAGCACAGCTTAGAGCCAGATCAGATGATTTTCCAATGAATATCTATTAAAATTGACTTAAAAAAATACATTTTTATTTTTCAGTACTAAATTACCGTAAATCCTCTAATATAGGACGGGACCTTTATTTCACTCAGGTACATCTAGGCCATTATTGGAAGGAGGCCAGAATTAGAGGCACGCCTTTACTTCTATTTGATCAAAACAGACTACCAGTGGAATGAATAAAAACAAGATTTTGTGTCTCTTTGAACCTATAAAATACTAGGTTCATATATTGAAAAAGTACAGTTACCATAACGGTACACAGAACATTATTCCGACATCTTTCAGCAGCTGCAATTTTTATGCACGGCAATACGAAAAAAAAAAGACAGAATGGAATCTTGGCCAAGCTGACTTGCAAAACAACGTTTTTTTTTTTACAAAAAGCAGCTGTAAAAGGCCCCATCCAGGAAACACACAGCCAGGCAGACGAGCTCCGAGCCAGCTCCCATGCCAGAGGACGAAGAGAGCACATCCAGCCAGTCACAGTCAGAGAAACAGGACCACACTGGAAAACAGGCCGATCTCCAACATCTACAAAAAAAAAGAGGTTGTTGATGGCAGCAGCACAGCTGATATTTCTCTCTTCAGGATGGAGTCACAGCCAAACATGAACAAATGAAGCGAAGCTTATATGAGAAAAAGCAGAGAGAGCAGAAACATTAGAGATTGAAGTAACAGATTCTGTGGAGTGGGAGAATAGAGATAGAATGGAGCAGAATGATGACTGATTATTAATGGAGCATCCTCTCACATGATCCAGTCCCAGACCTAAACAGCTGCATGTAGCAGGAACACAAGCTCCAAGTGGACAATTTTTCTAATGTAATGTATATCAAATATATCTGACACTTTGTATAAGAAAAACAAAAATGTCCTCAAATGTCACCAATGTTTCCTGTGTTGGCATTTCAGAGTAAAACTAAGAGAAAATTTCTAAACCTCTTTCATTTACCCTCTTATTTCCCAATTATTTATGTAACTCTTCCTAATATGTTTTCATTCCTCGCTGCAGATCATGAGATTAACGTCTAAAGTTATCCACACCTCGTAGATCATTTTAAATTTGCAGCCTCAGCATATATGATCCTTCTATCTGTAGTCGAATGCCTTTGAAGTCGGAGATAATATGGACACTTAACGCACTTTGTATAATTCAATTCAATTCAGTTTATTTATATAGCGCCAAATTCACAACACATGTCATCTCAAGGCACTTTACAGTTCAACCAGATCATACAGTCAAATCGATACAAAGTTTTCTATCTAAGGAAAACCAGTTGATTGCATTGACTCATTGACTCAAATAAAATCCCCCACACTAAGCATGCTTGTAGCGACAGTGGAGAGGAAAAACTCCCTTTTAACAGGAAGAAACCTCCAGCAGAACCAGGCTCAGTGTGAGCGGCCATCTGCCGAGGCCGACTGGGGTTCAAGGAGACAGAAGCAGAGATACAAAAAGCAGATGTAAAAGGCGGCCCCGTCAAGGAAACACACAGCCAGGCAGACGAGCTCCAAGGCAGCTCCCATGCCAGAGGACGAAGAGAGCACATCCACCCAGTCACAGTCAGAGAAACAGGACTACACTGAAAAACAGGCCGATCTCCAGCATCTATAAACAAAGGTGTTGATGGAAGCAGCACAGCTGATGTTTCTTTCCAGGATGACGTCACAGCCAAACAGGAACAGACGAGGCAAAGCTACTCTGAGGAAAAGCAGAGAGAGCAGAACGTTAGAGATTGAACTAACAGATTCTGCAGTGTGGGAGAATAGAAAGAGAATAAAGCAGAATGATGAAATGGGGGTCCCTATGTCCTCCAGCAGTCTAAGCCAATAGCAGCATAACTATAGAGATAGCTCAGGATAACCTGAGCCACTCTAACTATAAGCTTTATCAAAAGGAAAGTTTTAAGTCTAGCCTTAAAAGTAGACAGGGTGTCTGCCTCACGGACTAAAACTGGTCATTGGTTCCACAGGAGAGGAGCCTGATAACTAAAAGATCTGCCTCCCATTCTACTTTTAGAAGTTCTAGGAACCACTAGTAAACCTGCAGATTGAGAGAGAAGTGCTCTGTTAGGAACATTAGGAACAATCAGATCTCTGATATCAGATGGAGCTTGGCCATTTAAGGCTTTATATGTGATAAGGAGGATTTTAAATTCTATTCTGGATTTAACAGGAAGCCAATGAAGAGAAGCCAGGATAGGAGAGATGTGATGTCTCTTTTTCATTTTCATCAGAACTCTGGCTGCAGCATTTTGGATCAGCTGAAGGCTTTAACTATAGCAGCATAACTATAGTGAGAAGACAGGATAAACTGAGAAAATCTGTAAAACTGTTTTTGTAAAACCCAGATTTTAATTTAGTTATTCTTTTTGTTGATTTTATGGAATCACACAATTGCTGCAGATTTGTTCTACATCTATGATATGATTGTCCCAGTCCTCTTTTTTTTTTTTTTATTAGAGCCGATGGCCATAAAAGAACTTAAGTCATAATTACAGTATATTCATAAGACCGGTTTTAGATGATATGTGGAAGAAACCAAAGCTAAAAGTGTCATCACAAAGGGATGAACATAACAAATAATAAAGGGTTATTTATTTATTTATTTTTTCTGATAAGAAACACTTGAATAAAATTAACATTTCTCAAAAAGCATATTTTATTTACTAATGAACAACTATTGCACATTTTAAATAAATTGTAAATAGTGCAAATATGAAATTAAAACTCAACTATTTCTCATAACATTTTGTTAATTGACTTGTTTGTAGATTATTTTTTAATTAAGAGATTGATAATCTTGTAGCAAAGGTGTTTCACACCTTACTGGATTATAAAAACCTGAACCTAAAACTAAAGCAAAAACATAAATTCAAACCCTTGATTGAACGGTTTGGGATTAATTACTGAACTGAGTTGGTTATTCTTTCAGCAAATGTTTTAGAGGCTGAATAGTCCAGCAAATCATTTGATTTGATTACCAAATTAATTGTTTCAACAATGTGAATAAATGAATCTGATTAATTCTTTCAGTTTTAAAGTGATGCTCAGTTAGTAAGAGCTCAGAGGTTTACAACCATCACACCAGACCTACAGAACCATCTGACCCTACCATTTGAAAGCTGAAGCTCAAAGTGATATTCATTAGACCAGAAATGTTTTTCTGTCTGTTTATCAAGTTTTAGTGAACCTGCGTTGATTGTAGGCTTTTTTCCAGAAGTTGAAAGCTCAAAAACCCTAGCAGGTTGTTAAAGTTCAGCATTTACAAAAATAGAAAATAGCTAAACAAACTTTGACCCAACATGGTAGACTTCCTGTTGGTTTTAGGATATGATGTTAGGAGACTTTGACTATGATTTATGGACTATGGGGGACCAACATGTCTGCCAAATTTAGATTTTCTGCGACTTAATGTTTGGCCCATCTGATTTTAGGGGGCGTTTGACCACGCCTACTTCTTATTCCTTTAAAATGCTAAAATTTCAAACGGGGAAAATTTGGGCAAAGTATGGTTGATTTTCATAAATCTTAAGGTCTTCAAATAGGTGATTTTTTTTTGGTAAAGCTTTCTTTTACAGTACATCAATAACCATGTGATAACATGTTACTAACTAGGGCTGGGTATTTTCGCCAAAGTCCTGAATCGATTCGATTTTGATTCATACAGTTCTAAATCGATTAATTTCGATTCAATCTGTTTTTACAATAATAAAAGTGGTTCAACTGTGTTTCAAAATACTCATGCATATTATTTCTTCCTGTCATATTAACCACAAATACAAACTTGTAAATCAGACTGTTTAAAATTGAGGTATGAACAAAACTGTCTCAAAAGTGCAAACTTGTTTGTGAAAAGGGAAAAAGTGAAGCCTCACTCGAACAAGCAGACGTGACACAGCAGACATGCATGAGCTGCATTATCTCCAATGCACAAACCATATTTGCAGCGTTGTCTGTAACAACTACAGGGTGTTTGCTGGTCAGCCCCCATTTGTCAATGTCTTCAGTCAACCTATTTGCTATATTTGCAGCTGTCTTGGCATGAACTAATCTTGAGAGCATCTTTCCTGCTCATTTGAATGTGAACGTCACGTGCATCACTATAAAACTAATCGATCTTATTTCCTAGACATCGATTTTGCAAAAATGTAAAGGAATCAATTCAAAATTGATAAAATTGATTTTTTTTACCCAGCCCTATTACTAACATAGCATGTTACAATACATTACTAAGTAACAACAAACACTTTATAGAGAATTTTAGGCGGACAAGGTAACGTCAGACTTTTTAGATTTAAAACCCTTATTACCAGGTAACTCAGTAATTTCACCGACAGCAATAAATTAATGTGTTATTATTTAGCAAAATGCAGTTTATTACTTGGCATATAACAGAAAACCAAACCTAGAACACAGCAATCCGATCTTCTTAACTAAACTCTTATTTATATGTAACTGGAGTTCAGTTTTATAAGGCATTATTTACCCGATCACAAGTTACAATTTACTTTGTAAGCCATTGGTAGGAAATGGCTTATAAAGAAATAATAGAAACTGTTGTGTGGTAACATAATGGTAATTATCCACGAAAAGTCTGCAATGTTGCATAGTAACATACAATTGTAGTAATCAAATGCAGGTAACTACTTTCAAATATTATTATACGTTAATTTTGGGGTAATTACCAAAAAAATTTTTTTGTTACCAAGTACTATTGTGTGACTTGCTATGTTATTACCTTGTTATTACCTTATTATTGTTATTAATGTACTGTAAAAGAAAGCGTTAACAGGTTTTTATTTTGTGTATTTTTTTTTTTTCAGAGAAACAATAAAAAAACATTGAATTATAACAGCTGGGCTGTTCAGTGGGGCAGTGTGTAGCACTGCTGCTTTGCAGAAAAAAGGTCCTGGGTTCAAATTCAGGGTCTTTCTGCATGGAGTTTGCATGTTCTCCCTCTGCATGCGTGGGTCCTCTCTGGGTACTCCGGCTTAGTCCAAAATCCTGACTGTTAGGTTGATTGGATTCTCTAAATTCTCCTTAGGTGTGTGTGTATCTGAATGGTTGTTTATCCTGTTTGTCTCTATGTGATGGACAGACAACCTGTCCTAGGGGTACCAGGGTGTAGACAGCTGGAGATAGGCACCAGCACAACTCGCAACCCCGCTTGGGACACGCATGACGGAAAATAGATGGATAAATTATAACAGGCCTTTGCAGTGTTAGCTGTTCCTTCAGATGTGATATGCTTTCTTTTTTTTTTTATATCTGTTTCTGTTGCTGCAGCTACTATGTGTGTGTGACGGTGCTGATCTATTTCCTGCCCTTGTGCATTATGGGATGGGCGTATATGACGGTGGCGGTCACACTCTGGGCGAGCGAGATTCCCGGAGATTCCTCCGAACACTACGCGGAGCAACTCACGGCCAAGCGCAAGGTGACCCAAAACAACAGCACAGCGTTTATCACTGCACAACATCTTTTAACACAATGTCGTCCTAATCCTCCTGTAAAAAATGTAGACACCAAACAGCTGAGGAGATTAAGCAGATTATATACACCTCGCCTGCATGCTTCCCCTGCTAGGTGGTGAAGATGATGATCGTGGTTGTGTGCACCTTTGCCGTTTGCTGGCTGCCCTACCACGTCTACTTCCTGCTGCACCAGTTTTTCCCTGAACTTTTTGAGGAGCGCTACATCCAGCAGGTCTACCTAACCATCATGTGGCTGGCCATGAGCTCCACTATGTACAACCCCATCATCTACTACTGTCTAAACAGCAGGTGGGTTTATCAGGGTGAGCTGCTTACCGTCCAAAAGGCGAGTCGTCTGTCAGCGTGGGTGTTTATCTGTTTCTATTTCATATGAGTTGGCTGTAATCTGGGTATGAGTGCACAATCCTCTCTGTTTATTAATCCGACCCACTGAGAAATATCCCTGGTGTTTCTCTCTCGGCAGGTTCAGAGCAGGCTTTCAGCAGGTATTTTGTTGCTGTGCTCCTACTGTCAACAAAGAGGAATTGTTGGAGCTTAAATCCCCTCGTTACCTGCAAACCCAGGTCTGTCTACGAACACAAAAATATATCTTCCTAAACATGAACTATGTACTGCTTTTACCAGCTACTCGTGCCAGTTTACAGAAAATGTATCTCCCATTGGGGTTATAAGAGCTCGAAATGCTCATTTCTTTGTCTGTGCATCACAGCAGCTTCCTCTGAACAGGCCTTTGCTCCTGGTCAGACTATTTTTAGCCCAGTTGTACCTCTGTACAGATATTAAGAGATATAGCGTTTTCATTAGAGCTCAAGGGGAGTCATAACACACTGGTTTCTACACAGCCGGCTCAGAGGTAAGAACCGAGAACAAAACTGAAAGGAAATAACGAATATTATTTTAGGTTTTATATCTTTTGTTGTCCCTAAAAGATGAATTATCCAAACAGCGGGTAAAAAAGCAGATCTTTTCTTAATGGGGTGTTTTTCTAAGAAAAAATTGTCCCTGATTTTATCTCCTGCCTTTGTTTTGACCTGCCTTTTTTGTTATCTGCGGATGTCTGACTGTCCCTGCTGGTGTGCACAGCCAGCGCAGTCACAAAAATCTTGGCTGCCCAAAGACATCTGCATAGCATCTGGTGGGTGGGGTATGACTTAGGCTACGTTCACACAGCAGCCTGAAGTGTCCATATGGGACCTGCATCTGATCTTTTCAAGACAGCCTTAAAAACATGGATCCGATTTTTTCCCATGTGACCCAGGCCACTTGGCTATGTGGTCCTGAATCCGATTCGTATCTGATCAAATGCGACCTGTGTCTGAACAGCCAGGTCGCATTCATCCAACCTGAACTTCATTAATACTTAACAAAGGTCACTGTTGTGCGTCTTGCTACACAGAAGCGTCAAGAAAAACAATAACCATTGTGGATGATGATGAGAACAGTAGTATTTATGTTTAACCACATTGAAAAGATTGTGTTTTTAATGTTATAAAAGATCGCTAGATGGGCTCCAGCACTACCATCCATGTTTACTTCCGTCAACACAGAGCACACTGGCTTGTCACGTCATTGTGTAGCACTTAAGGTGCTTCTTGTACCCTTTTGGCTATGTAATGATGGCAATATAGCTACCATGAACTGATATAGCTTGAAGAAGGGACAGCTGGGCCTAATCAGAAGACTTTAGATTCGTAAGTGCCAGAGGGTGTAGCAACAAAGGACATGTACACCAGAATTATGAACAAATTGCATTTAATTGCAATATTTTAAATGTGCACAATAAAAGAAAAAAAAAACAAAGCGCGCCTGATATAAAAAAAAATAACCCCAAAGTCTTTGTCCCTAGTCTTAAAGTGTTTGTCTCTCAACGTTCGTTCAGTCTTTCAATGTTCGTCTCAGTCTTTCAATGTTCCTTTGTGTGATTGTGACCAGTCGGATCACAAATACCAGTTCGCTGGGTAGTTCGCTTCCAGGCTTTGACTCGCCATCCAGATCTGGAGAGCCTTGTTCTTCGTAAATCCAGGCCTCTCAAAAAACCAAGCTGCGCAACGTGTGCCTCATAGCTAGGGGTGTTTCAGCTTGCGTGGTTCAAAGCCTTCGGACTCATCAAAATCCAAGTGTTTTCAACAAAAAGGCTGCTACTACTGCGCTAGCTCCCCCACCTCGGACAAGCGATCTCTCCAAGCCTGCGTCTCTGGCGCGTCTGAGCAGCAGACACAAGCCAAGCACAGGCTGGGAGAGGGAACCTAAACTTATTGGCTAATGCTGATATTGTTCAACACAGCTAATGGTTGCTAGGTAGATCACACACAATTATATCAAAACGAGAAGAACTCTTTTACTATTATTACGTTTGATATATTTTTAACTATTTCTGAACTATTTTTATGAACTTATATTTAAATGTTTTTATCAATGTTTTGTTATATTTTTAATCAAAATATATTTATATTTTTATTCACAGTTTTTAACACTGGGTTACAATTGCGTCCTCTACTGTGCATGCAGGACACTTAGGTTATATGAATGCAGTTCAGAGGAGATCTCATACAATTCGCATATATTTGGAAATGTGAATGGCAACGCAAATCAGAATTGAGCATTAAGCCCTGCAGTGTGAGTGTGGCCTTAGAAGTTGAGTTAGTGGTAAAAAGGACGGAGGTATATGTTATGAAGCTAATTAAAAGCCTGTAGGTAGAAGGAAGGAAAAGCAAGGGGTTGCTTTATAAATTGAGCTTATATTAATTATATTACAACATTAACCCATGACACACATTTTTGAAACCCTTCCAATGAAACTGATTTAAATAGTTAGAGTTACAGGCTGTAGTAGATTCAAACCCTCCTACCTTCCAGCTTTAACCTAATTACATTCACACTACAGATGTGAAATGCATTCTTTTGGTTAAGATCCAGATTTAATGACTTTAAGGTGGGAGAAGGAACATAGATGTCCCGCTAAATTGAGAGCTGTGGCTTTAGGCTCAGCTCTCTATTCACCTTGACAGACTTGCCTATTCAGCAAGGCAAACAGTTCCCTTTAACAACCCCCCCTTTCAGAGACTTAGACAGATATGGGGCATGCAGGCTTAGAAAAGATTCAAGCGACCCCCATTCCAAAAGGGTGGACCCATTCATTGGTTTCAATTTGCATGTTTTCAAAATCTGTGTCGATGGGATTTGAATTAAAAATGCCACTGAAATTTAAATGTTATATGTTTGTACTTACTGTTTCAGTGTTAAAATATATTCAGAACACATTTTTGACCTAAAAAGAAGTTCATTGTCATTTCTACACAGTTGAAATGTAATGTTATTTTCTCTAAAAGCTAAAAATTCACATTACTATTTCAAAGTGATTACATTTTCAAAACTTATTTTTCAGTTTAATATTTCTGTGTTAAAAAAATCTGCATATAAAAAAAATTCAACCTTTCAAAATTCAAAGTCAATATTTTCAGCCTCCTGAGATTCAACTGGCTCTATTTCACTGTCTTAAATTCGGCGTCTAAATTCAGTGTAAAAAGTGTACTTCAGGTCACAGACATTAGCAATGGATTGTGGCGTCCAACACCCAGCCAATCCCGTTAAATTTTCTTAGTCACGTGACGTGACGCTTGTGGTGCTCATATTGAAGGAAAACCAGCAAGACGGAGCCGGTCATGCACGCTAACGCTAACTCAACTACAGAAAAATGAAAGTAATAAACTCACCGTTGACAGTGAAACTTTCAAGTTTTGAAAATGTAATCACTTTGAAATAGTAATGTGAATTTTTAGCTTTTAGAGAAAATAACAAATTAAATTTCAACTGTGTAGAAATAATGACAATTGATTTTTTTTAGGCCAAAAATCTGTTCTGAATATATTTTAACACTGAAACAGTAAGTGCAAACATACAAAATTGAAATTTCAGTGGCATTTTTAATTCAAATCCCAGCGACACAGATTTACTTCCATAGGCTCCTGTATAAAACCTCGAACTCAACGCTATTCCTGACATTTTAATCGAAAAATCTTGCTGGATAAGAAGCAAAACGTCTTCAAACTTGGAAACAAAGTCCGTTGGTCTGTTTTTTAGGTTACTTTTTTTTTAACCTCAACAGACACAGCTTCTTCACTATAGCGGCAGCCGCACTGATCCGTCTATCGATCACCCACTCCATTCTCCCATCTTGTGAACAGGACCCCAAGATACTTGACATCCTCTACTGGAGACAGGAACTTTCCTCCAACCTGAAGGACATTAAGCACTTTTTCCAGGCCTGAACCATGGCCTTGGAGGAGCTGATTCTCATCCTCAGACCCTAGGCTGCACCTAGGGGTGTAAATCACACCCATCATGGCAATTCAATTCAGTATCAATTTCCTGACCCAATGATTTCATTATTTTCGATACTCAAGAATACACCACCATACGATTCGATTCGATTAATTGTTAACAGTTTTTTTTTTTTACCTTACAGGCTAGGCAATGTTTCAAATTGGAAATAAATCAATGAAACCTGTAATATCATTATTCATTTTATTTGAGAAACAAACGCGAATAACAGAAGTAGCAAAGTTGTACTCAACCTAGGCCTATGAAAACCTCATTCATTGAAAAATAATAATGCCTCTGTGTTATAGATTCTGAAATGTCTTGCATCAAAAAATACTGCAAGGAGTGCATAAGTGCATTAGCAGATTAAGTAACAAAGATAGGCCTATAATACATTCACTATAAAATAGCAATACTTAACAAAATCAGTGCAATGAGTGCAAGTGTGCACTAACAGCAAATGTTAACTAAAAATACCCCTGCACTTCATTCACTATGAAATAACAATACTCCACAACTCCACCAAGTCAGCAAAATTAGTCAAAATGTCTACTAGCAACAGAAAAGTTGGAATGTACTTAATTCACTTAAAAGTAACAATGCTTCTGTTTTATACTGAAGGGTTGAGGAAAAGAGAACAGTTAGTGAAGCTGTAACATTAAACTACAGCATTGTTATAGTTCAATACTTTCAATTGTGCTTCTTGACAGATTTTTCTTTAAAAAAATCAGCTGGTCCACATGCTCAGAGGACAAAACACTACGTTCTGAATGCACAATGTCACCTGCTGTGCTAAACACGCGTTCTGACGGTATACTTGTACCAGGTATGTACAAGTAGGTCTTGGCCAGGTCAGGAAACTTGGCCTGATGATTCTAACACCTTACCACCCAGGCTCAGAGATGCAACCTGTACTGCCTAATTTCATCATTGGCTAGCTGTTTGGATGTGTTCTTCCTGACACTTTGGTCCTCAGTGCTGAAGGAGTCACCAAACAAGTCAACCAATACTTTTGTTTTCTTGGAAACAGGGGGTGTCTCTAAATTAAACAAAAATAAGACAAGAAAAGGAGTATAGTTACAGTGAAAGTATAATATGACAGTAGGCTTTAGTCATATAGTACAGTTTTAGTATATATACATAAGTGTGTGTGTATAAATATATAAAATGTGCATGTATGATATAATATCTATATAATATTTATGAAGTATATGTGATATAAGTAGGTTAAAGTAGGATCTTT